TGGCTGGGGAATTCTGGGAGATGAAGTCCATACATCTTCAAACGGCCAAGGTTGAGAAACACTGGTTTAAATTTATCAGTTGGTCAAGTCCAGTGGACTCTGGGTGGCATACAAAACTAGAAAAAAACACACACCAAACAGAGAATCAGACAGACATCCCGGACTAACATAATCTGACACACCACAAAATCAACCAAACCAAACCACTGGCTATGTATAGTGCCATCTTGTTCCATCAAAAAAAAAGGTCTTCTGATCGGGTCATAAGCTAAGAAATTGATTAGGTCACTCTTTGCAGTCATGACAGCCACCTCCTGCGCACGAGGTGCTGGAATATTTCCATTCTTTCTGCCCCCCACGCCTCCCCCCCCCCCCCACTTTCTGGGAAGTACAGCAATTGCACAGCTAAGGAGAGCACATTCATCTCTGCAGTCTCCTTCTTCCCTTACTTCCAGGGTAGATATAACATCCAATGTCCTATGTTCTGGGCAAAAGGTTTGGGCAAAAGCAGACAGGATGCCCTCTAAACAGATTAAAGCCCCAAATTGTAGCAATTTGTACAGCTGGACAATTTCTCCCACAAACGCGAGCCCTATCAGAAAGCTATTATGACTCTGCATATTTTTCTTAAATGTACTTTTCCTTTCCCTGCGGGCTTTCAAATGCCTTGGAAATCGTGAGAACGGGCTACCAAGCTGCCTTTCAGGTCCTCAAAGCTAATCCAATTTAAAAGCTCGGTTTTGCATCTTCATAGAAAAAGGATGAGCCTCTCTCACTTTTTCAGGCAACTTCCTTGCTTGTTTTATGAATGTGTACCTTTTTTTCCCCAAGGGGCTACCCACATTTCTCCAAACACAGAAGCCCACCGGCTCATCTGAAAAATCCCTGTCGGATACTTGGGCCAAATCAACCTTAGATGCCTACGGGCAACGCCGGCTGGCAATTCTAAGAGCTGACATCTAAGTGGATGGTGCCAGAATGGTGGGAGGCTAGCCCAGAAGAATTAGAGAGGCTTAAAGGACAAAACATCCTATCAGGAGAGCTTTTTTGGGAAAGGAATGTGGCAGTGGTGGAAATTTATGGCCGACTCATATCTGTCCTGGACATAAATAAAATATCAGGTCAAGTTGAAAAGAACCTTGGAACTGTCTGGAGATCAGTCAGAAGCCAGCAAACCTTTCTGTAAACAAGGCAGCTGGACTTTTGATAGCCAGAAGCAACAAAGAAAGGCTAACAGGCTCTTTCTAAATTGGGTACAGGCAGGGCACCGAGGTCCCCAGTGCACTGGATGGCCCAGAAGTCTCTCCCCCCCCCCCGACTTGTATCCCCCAAAGGCAGAAACATCTAATCACGTTTGCTGAAAGTTGGTAGTAATTTTCCTTTCCTTTTCAGGTGGACGCCCAGAAACTCTCATGCAACTCTTGAAATGGCTGAATAGTATTGTTAAAAACCCAAAGGAAAAACAGCCCAAATTCTTCCCCCCAACAATTCAGGGGAGGAAAAAAACTTAGGACATGTTGATTTCGCCCACACTACATTCAGCAGCATACTCAAGCAGGTCACATTGTCAAAAGTCATCAACCAACCACGGGTTCAAACTCCTGTCCCTGGATTTACATGCACGCTCAGCCAAAACCCAACATCTACACCCTGACTTATCAGTGTGTTCCACTTCATGGAAGTCACGTGGATCAACTGGAACTGCCTGGTACAAACCTCAGCCTCTTTTAAAAATCCAAATACACATCGTTTTTAGAGCAAGGGGGGGAAAAAGTGCCCCCTAGGTTAATTGAGAAATAAAAGTTGTGGCAATACTGAATCAAGCACTCTGCCTGTGCCTGGAAGATGCTCTGTTGCTAAGTGCCCTCTGAAAAGTCATTTCCTTCCCTAATGGGACCTGGGAATTGATGGTGCTTTGTTTCCCCCCCACCCCCTTGGCACCGCTGCAGAGAATCCTTCCAACTAAAACATCAAGCAAGAGCATTCCACAAGATTCTCTGAGTCAATTAGCCTGTTCCCCCATCCTGGGCAAACACAGCTGCCCGCCAGTGAAAACCCCACACTCCCTGTACCTGGAACTCTATAGAGACCGAACAGGCAGGGCAAAGTGGACCGTCCTGTTATCCGCTTCCCTTTTTTTCCCTTAAAAGCCCGCAGTGCTCAACATCTGCCCAGCTATTTAAAACACAGACAAGCACATTTTCCAGAGGTGTTTTCCCAG